AAGATACCAGGAAAAGGAAGCATCTTCATAAAGAAGATAAAAAGCAAGACGGCCTCTGAACCAGGCCGCAGAAGAGGAGCATATTCATAGGGAAAATCACACACGAAAGCACGCCTTAACAGTAGCACAAAGAGCAAGAATCATCCTAGAGAAAATAACACACACAAACACATCTTCACGATGCCACAGGAAGAAAGAAATAATAAAGTAAATCCGAGGGTGGAGAACAGAACCTGGAGACGCAAAGTGGGCAATGATGCTTGTGAGGGGATGCTTAAAGTCCGAACTGTAAATCCCGAGGGAGCAGCATTAAATGGTTAATCGTAAGAAATAGACTTTAGCGGCTGATGACAGAACCAGGGACAGGAAGGATAGGCCCTTAACCATAAGTCTTGCACAAGAAATCATACAACACAAACACTCAAAGTTGAAAACCAATTAATAGAGCAAATATCAGAAACATAAGAAGTGAAGAAGGAGCAATAAAAGATGGCGCCCCAAAGTAGTAACTGTAAAAACCGCACATGATGCCTAACGCAAACCCCTCCGGGGAGATATCATGAAGAATAATAGGACCAAATAAACCAAACCATCTTGCAGCATCAACCATAGAACATACACCTGAGCAGTGCACACTACACAACTAGTATAGACCGTAAAGCTAGGGCCTGCAAGAACCATCCTACACTTCATCAAGCAGCGATAAACACTAAAGGTATCCACTAAGTCCTAAACAGTGAAGTTGAATCCGCAACCAGGGAATCCGAACCGTACACCGTCAAGATATGGCAAAAGATCCTAAGCCTAAGGAGATAGGAAATAAAAACGGCCAACAGAGATAGGGGAAAATATGTAAGGAATTAACCCTAGAAATAAAGACTAGAGGGTGCCAGTACACGCTCAGCCACAGGCCTCACTGATAAGCCGTGGAGGCTGAGCAATGGAATATACAGCCTAGGGCCCAAAACCTACAACCCAAACACTACACCGTAAATCCTAAACACCTAAAGATGATCACAGTACAAAGGGCGTATAATCAGTGAATCTTACCCGCCTAAAATAAATTATCGAACAGTACTAATAGACCCTAAGGGGTAAAGAAACCCCCCCGGCCATAGACAAGGACCTGGAGGCGTAAACATAGAGGATAAATCCTGACAAATACAGTCAAGAGTCGAACTGGGGGGATAAGAATTAAAGCATTAATGCTAAGTATTAAAGAATACAGAGTGAACAATAAAAGTTGAGACAATCCCACACCTCCATAAGCCGATAGCACAATGCCTGAGTAAGACACAAATGAGATAGGTGCCTACACGCTGCTACCTAACTGCGTAAAATTGAAGCGTAAAAACCAAGGAGTACAGGTAAAATATATAGAGAGAAATATACTCTTTAACAGAACTCCATAAAATTGCAGCCCTCAGAATTACAGGAACCTAAGCAAAAGAGAAATGTAACAGAGGGAGAACAGGCCTAAGCACTAATGGGAGCAACATACAGCCTCAAACAGAAGACCAACAGCGCAGCTTAAGCAGTACGAGATAGAA